GCTCGGGCACGCGCGTCCCGGCGCCCCGCTCCCCCGCGCGCGCTCCGTCTGTTTTTCCCGATTGCTTTCGCTCTCGCACTCTAAAATAGGTCAAGGGGTGGAAGTTGCACCAGGTACGGCCCCCGGCTCTGATGCAAAAGCGGCTTTCTCTCCCCCGGCTCCGGGAGAGCCTTGCAACTATTCGGTTCCGTAGAGTCTCCCGCCCCCATACCGTGCGGAAAGCGCCGGCGACCGTGGTGCTGACAATGGTCTGCAGAGGGGAGCGGCGGCGAGCCTCTTTCCCACCCTAGTTCTGCCGGTCCTGCGCCCGCCTTCCCCCAGCACACCAGGAGGAGGGGGCGCGACAGGTCGCTTCGCGCGCTCGGGTCCCCGCGCCCGGGGTCTGACCGCCTAGGTGAGTTCGTGCTCTTCCTCTCTCGTTCCGGTCGCCGAGAGTGACCTGTTTACCTTGAAAACTTAGACGTGATCAAAACGGGCGAGCCTGCCTTGCCGTAGGGGATTGCGGGAGGTGCTTCAGATGTTAACACCGGGTAAATCAGAACTCAAGAGCTGCAGGGGACATGTTTAGTGTCTTAAAGGTGAAAATGAATTTGTATTTTCATGGAATACACGTGTATCTCTCCCTTTAGAAGCGACCACTGGGAACTGATTTTTAACTAGCAGGAGGCAGGGAACTAAGAACTTAAAACCAGAAAGTTTGTCAGAATATTTTTTAGGTGATCTGAAAGAACTTATTGAAATAGCCAAAGCTGACGACAAAAATACCAGTTTAAGAAGGAATTTCAAAACGAGACGGTAGGATTTGCGTAATATTTGCCGTAGGTGTAGCTCATGGTATTACCTGAGTTCTTTGTGGTAAATATCGTAAGCATACAAACGCTTTAGGTAGAAAGAGGGTAAGGCTGTAAACATCTGCGTGCAAAGCTTTATATCGGTTGGCATGCATGAATTTTAAATGTATATTGAACATTTCGTGTGGGCAAAGAGCTAGAAAGTATCTATATCGTTTTGAGGTTTAGATTATTAGCAGTATTACAGGCAACAATTGGCATTTAACGCCTTCCAGTGGTTAAATGTAGTATCAGTCACGTGACTCATTAGCATATAGAATCCTTGACATTACTGGCTAATGAATGGTTAATTTGGTCTGAAGTTTAGAGAAGGGAGGACTGTAGGTTTTTCTGTCCTTGATGCCTGACGGAAAATGCAGTGTAAAGGACTCTCCAATGCTGGTGAAGGATCTTTAGAGGAGCTCAGAGGGGAGGATCATTTACGAGGAATGAAAATGACTCCCTGATGGCCACTGAGTGCAGATAGCTTCTTCTAAAGGGGACCCTTGACAAGCTGGAAAGCATCTCCTCACTAAGGAATCCGCTCCAGAGGCTACTGCTTTATTAATGCGTTTGGTCAGACTTGAGAAGGGAGCTCTCCATAGGCTCTTCTTTTAATTCAAAAGAAAGTGTATCTCTAGAAAGGTTCAACTGCTGTAGTGATGTTCTTCGGAAATAATTTGTCCTTTTGTGTGTGTGTGTGTGTGTTTTAATATATCCAAATCACCAAGGCAGTTCAAGGTTTTAATAAAATTTTACTTACCGGCAGGATATGAAATTGAACATACTATGCATGGTTAATTCTGTTTGCAAGTGGGAGAGGCCGAGGAGCTTTCCCAGAAAATTTTAGGTCTATGTTTATGTGGGTTTTCCAAAGCCAAATCTCACTGGGGATTCTGAGGACTCTAAAGAAGGTATTAATGCTTATAGTATTTCTGGCAGGTGGGCATGTGAATACTTATAGGCATGTCACTGTAAATAATTCTTATGCGCCTTTAGAGAACTAGTATCCAAAATTTGAAACACATTATGATGAAGGCTCTATCACTGCTTTGAAGAAGGCGCAAAGGACCAGCCCGTTTGGCCATATACAGGACCTTAATGTTGAGAAAAACATGCAAATAAGTCTTTGTGTTTACTGCATGGTGATGTTCTACTGTGTATTTTAAATAGGAATTGAGTCAAGCTCTCATTGTGATTTAGCTCTTGGTATATATAATGCATTGTTGAGATGAGGCTGTCATCACTGGTCTGGGCAATCTTACCTTTCTACTTGTAGGTAAATGAGGAAGTGCTCTGAGAAGACTGGCATGAAAGTACTAAGATGCTGGGGATTTATTTAAGAACAGACTGGGGGCACATGGGTGGCTCATTCGGGTAAGCTGCCGACTCCTAGTTTCCGTTCAGGTCATGATCTCAGGGTTATGAGATCGAGCCCCGGATAGGGCTCCACACCCAGCAGGGAGTCCGCTTGAAGATTCTCTCCCTCTGCCCCTCCCCGGACTCACAGTCTCTCTAAATCAATCAATCAACCAATCAATCAATCTTAAAAAAAAAAAGAACAGACTGAAGGAATAAAAATGGAGCCTGATTCTGGTATAGCTTGGTCCCTGGAAGGTCTGCCAGCATGTGGTGCTAAATGGCCAACTGCATGTCCTTCAGCTTTTGTGATTTTCTTCTCTTGATGTCATAAGAGAATACGTAGCATAGAGCCCCTAGCTGAGAGGTATCCAAAAGGAGTTGACATCATTCACTTTGGGTATTTACTTCCCATCCAGGCAAACTTGTAACCACTCAAGAAGGAATTTAGAGTCTGCATTGGATCCCCTGGAGTGAATCCCATCTCTGAGCCATTTCCTCATCTGTGAAATGGCCATCATGAGACTTCCCGACGTGGCTGTGAGAAGCAAATGAAATAATTTGTATATAATACTGAGTATGCAGTCAGCACATTGTGAGCAGTCTTACAAGGAGAAATGTGTTGAGTTCAATGTCATCTCCTGGGGGCTCTGGAGGGGTTGCTGTGTAATTGACCGTGGCACTGAATATTCAGGTAAATTCCCCTGTCCTGGTATACTTAGTATGCTCTCATAGTATACACCGTGGTATACACTAGACTCCTAGGAGTTAGCGTCCTCTGGGAGCTAGAGGCGCACCCTGTCAAATCTGCATATCCTCCACCTGAGACAGGCCTTTGGCTTATCTAGGGTTAAAGAAGTTACCTGTGGTGGTTTTTGGAAATAATGATGAGATAGTTAAGGGGAGGGAGAGGTGACCAAGTGAAATTCTAAAATAGAATTTAAACATGTCATTGGCTCGTTTCGGTTAATGCCATTAGAAGTATGGCCCTCATAAAATGATAATAATTCCTAGTTTCCCGAGGGGCAGTTACGCATTTTGCAATGGGGTACTTGGACTTTGGGGATGAGGCAGCAATAACATTCCTTCAGCTTTTCAATCGTTCAGCATTGCCTAGGCACCTAAGGCTCCACGCTAAGCCTTCAGAATGCAATAGCAAGAAACTCAGACCTAACCTCCCGTGGAGCACAGGTCTGCTGGTAATACATACGTAAACCTGTAATTACACTTGCGCTCAGTGCGAGGCAGGAAAAATGTCAAGGGCAGAAGCAGGGAATCTGACCTAGGATGGGAGGGATGTCAGGAATGCTTGCTTCCGGCAGTGATGTTGGGGTTGTGAAGGAAGGTCCTTTCTTGGGGGAAGGAAGAGCCTTTAATAGGTAAGGAACAGCCCCTGCAGAGACTCCACATGTGCAGGTATACCGTAGGGGGACTCTGCACGCTCAGGTACTGTAGGGGGACTCTGCACGCTCAGGTACTGTAGGGGCGGGCCCAGGAGAGCACAGGTATCTTTGACGAAGGGGCAATGTTGTGAATGAGGCTGGAACAGTAGGCCTCTGCTGCGAGACACATTTTCTTTTGTATCAAGGATTACAGTCTCAGTAGAACTCTTAATTGTTTTGTGTAAACCTCTTACCTTAGGCTTTCAGACTACTCTATTGAGTTATCAAAAGAATATTTACAGTCATTTTTTTAAGCTGATCAGAACCTAAACCTAATTGACTAGTTCGTCAGCTCTTTGCATTACTGTGTCCGACTTTAAAACCCTTGGGATTAATTTCCTTTTTAAAAAATCTAACAGATTTTGTGTTTAATATACGTATTTTATGTATTTCCCGCCATCCTATATACATAAATACAAATTTATTTGTCCTATATATGTATACAGGAGAACTGGAAATATACAAATAGGTATATTGATCCAGTTTGAATCTATATATCTATTCAAGAGCTGTCGGGACTGACGCGCTTGCATTTCACCCGTGGAAAGGCCTCCTGAGTCTGGATGAGGCAGCATGCCTCCTTGGGGGATGGCTCCCAGCACCATCCAGGCAAGCTCAGTGAAGAATTTGGCATCTGATTCTCTCCACCATGTGCATGGTTTTATTCGCTCTTATTCCCTGTTCCCTTCTTTTTCCTTCTTCTCTCCCCTCTCTGTCATTTTTTCCTTAATGTTTTTTTTTCTCTCTCTCTAGGGGCCCCCATAATTATTTCTCAGCCTTTATAATTATGCTCTGGCTTTAACCTCAGGCCCCACAGTGTTGGCCTCATTTGGATAGTTCTGGATCGTATGGCCCTTGACCTTCTTCCTGTTCTTCATGGTTAACCGTAGGTGTCAGATGGACACAAACTGTTTCCTTCCTGCAGTTCTCCCCAGGCAGACCTGCTGCCTTGTGCACTGAATGTCCTCATCTCTGCCTTCTTCCCTGGACCAGGGAGGCTGCAGATAATAGAAAGTATCCTAGCTACTGGAAGCCAACCGGGGTTTCACATGGGAGTTAGGTGCTCACAAGAAGGCTGCAAGGAAAGGTTGCCACGGAAAGGAGAGACGAGGATCCAGGCTGAGCTCTAGGGGTGACACCCAGGCAGCGCTGCTGAACTGGGCCCCCCGGGGGGCTGCTGCCATCATTGCCACCGTGTGGGGGCTGGGAATCAGGGCCACCACCGGAACTGCTGACAATCAAGAGCACAGTGACGAGAGAAGCTGCTACACTCCACCCGGGAAGCCAGTGACTGAGCACAGCTACCAACGACAAAAACAAACTAGCAACCCGGTATGTGCCCAGAACCCTAACTGCAAGGAACTCTGGGAAATGTAGTTTGCCCCTTCCCAGCCTCCCGGAAGAATGCACCCTTGTAGGGGACGGGAATGAACACGAAGGTGGAGTGACACCCCATCGCGTCTTACGTATATCTAAAACGTTATTTCCTCAGAGCCTTAGCCAGCATATTTCATTCAAAGCAGGTAGATGATCTATTGTAAGAATCCAAAAAGGATCCAGTGGCTTAACCAATTTCCATTTCAAACAGATGGATATTATAGTCATTACAGTCGAAATTGCTGGAAAAAGCATCAAGCAAATAAATACCTAAAAATTACCAAGCGCCTGCCTCTGCATGTGGTTCTGTTTGAAAGTGAAATAGTTTTCCTTTGTTTCGGTTTAGTAATCAAAGTCAAATACCGGGAGAATTGATTTCTAAAAAAATTCTCCCCACCAAAGTCCCAGATAGCCTACGTTTAATGCATGGCAGTACAAAGGAAGAATGCCGTGTCTGATAAGAGAAATAGCTCCTGGCAGGCTGGGTCTTTCCTTAGATGAATTATCTATGTATCCGTGTTTCTACCGAACCTTTCTTTAACCTATAACTTGAATGGTGCTTTTTTCTTTTTTTTTTTTTTTAAGGATTACAAAGATAGAAATGACCTGTTAATTGGAGATTAAAATAAGAGTATTGACTCTAATCACTTATTTCATACCCTGGTGCTTGTCAGATTCTGTTTTTGCAAACCATTAAAGTAAATATGATTGAATCTCTACTATCGCCAAGTAATAAATTATTGTTTATCGGCAGTCAGAAGTTCCATTAGCGCATCTAGGAACAAATCTTGATTATTGAACGAAGTAATTTTATGTTTGCCTCTGATATTTGGATCTAGAAAATGAGAGCAGAGTAACTGAAACAAATGGAGTAACTTAGTGAATTGGTCAGTCTATGACACATATCTATTTTTAATTGATTTTTATGTCTCAAAAGGTAATATTCCATTCAGATATCTTCTCTGGTAGGTGATGAAAGCATTTAAATGCGGATTTACAAATGCTGCCTGGGGTAAACTGCACTATAATATGAATGTGTTCTTTCAAGTCCAATGGTGACAACAAGAGTTTAGCCAGTCCAACCCCAAGCCACCCAAACTAAACACAGTGCTTTTGCTCTGTAAATGCAGCTTCAAGACAAATTCACTGTCTTCCATCCTGAGCCCCCACCTAAGCCCCACTTACCCTGTATTCTCAGGACGGAACTGTTTGAATCTAATATTACACTATGACTTGATTAATTGTATGGGAAAGTAAGTAGTATTAATCCATGTTACAGTAACACATTAGGATCTCTGATTCCCCCTTCCCACAGTTTTTCTCTTTCATTCATATTTGAGTAAACATTCAAGAGAAAAACCTGGATTTCCCTCCCACCGGATTATAAGGGGGATGAGTTCTTATCTTCGGCTATATGGAGCTTAATTGCAGATTACGTTGTAGGACACAACTCCTTTTACGGATTGAAAATCAAAATCTTCCTATTTTCCAAGTAAAAGTAGTTCTTAAAAATAGAAGAACATCCAGGGGTGCCTGGGTGGCTCAGTTGTTAAGCGTCTGCCTTCGGCTCAGGTCATGATCCCAGGGTCCTGGGATCCAGCCCCGTATCAGGCTCCCTGCTCAGCAGGAAGCCTGCTTCTCCCTCTCCCACTCCCCTTGCTTGTGTTCCCTCTCTCTGTCTCTGTCTGTCAAATAAATAAAATCTTAAAAAAAAAAAAGTAGAAGAACATCCAAATCTGAACTCACTCTCTGGTTAGATCATTGATGGGCTAAATTGAAGCGGGAGGTGGGTAGAGAAAGCATGGTTTTTTTAGTTTATATTTTAAAGCAAAATTTGAGGACAATCAAGCAAGACTAGTATTTGAACATCATCGAATGATTGGTTAGTCACTGACTCAAGATGTGGCTGTTAAGAACCTCTTTTGTACCAGGATTGGTGCTGGGTGCTAAAGATAGATGCCTCTGCCTTTAAGAGACTGATACTCTGGGGGAGACCGTAATAAAGGGTTATGGTGGGTAAAATGGTCCTCTTAGAGTCAGTATGGAGAATAGTGGTTTTCTCATTTTCTCATGGTAAGGTGAAAGGCAGAGTTAATTGAAACAGACATATTTCTGATTTCTAAGAATATCTACTGATATTTTTAACAACAGCAAAACAATAAAAAGGCAGCCAAGAGAGGCCAAAAAAAAAAAAAAATGTCAACTGTCCCAGACTGGACCTTTTATCTTCTCCCTTTAACCTACAGATACCGAAGTAAGCTTGTCACGAGTTAGAGGGTTTTAGTGTTTAAAGAAATAATGAGTTTGTAAGAAAAGAGGACTGCTTTTGGTTCTTTAGTCAACATTCAGAAAGTAGTCTGTTAGCTTTAAAAAATGTTAAGCGTGGCAGCAAGGAAAGGGGGACCTCAGTCCTATCAGGGACTTCCATCCTATCTATGACTACAAGAAATTGAATTCAATTCCCAAAATAGGTTTGGAAGTAGATTTTTCCTCAGAGCCCCTGGATGACAGTTCAGCCTGGCCACTATCTTGATTTCAGCTTTGTCATATCCTGAGCAGGAAACTCAGCTGTGTTGTTCCAAACCTCGGACCTACAGAACTATGAGCTAATAAATGGGTGTCGTTTTAAGTTTTAAAAAAAAAGGATCAGAACCCTTAACGTTCTATAGGACATTGAATTTATAATTAGAGTACTTGAGAAAATGCAGGCACATTTGGAATGTTAAGACATCTGCAAATGAAAATGTCAATGCAATGATTTATGAAATTACGAAACAGATCTAGGGTGACTAGATGATGTGTTGTCAATCTGGGACACTTCTAAGAGTGAAAGGGGCACTATTAATGATTGCCCTGGGAAAAGAAGCAGAAATGGGGACCAAGGCCAACAAACCAGGATTTATGGTCACCCAAGATTAAGATGCTGGTTGTATAACATTATTGCATTAACTGCAATATTGATTTCTTAAAAATTATAGTAAGTATATTCATAACATAAAACTTAGATTTAAACCATTTGAAGTGTATAGTTCAGTAGCATTAAGTATATTCATATTGTTGCGCAACTATCATTCATCTCCAGAATTTTTTTCATCTTGCCTTGCTGAAACTGAACCTATTATAACAGTAAATCCCTGTTCACCTCTCCCCTTCGCTCCTGGCAACCACCATTTTACTTCCTGTCTCTGAATTTGCCTCTTCTAGGTATGTTACATTAGTGGAGTAATAAACTATCTGTCCTTTCGTGACTGGCTTATTTCACTTAGCATAATGTTCTCAGGTTTTATCCATGCTGTAGCTTGTATCAGAGTTTCCTTTCTTTTTAATGATGAATATTTTTCCATTTTTCCACTGTATGTATTTCCACATTTTGTTTATTCATTTGTAGATGGACACTTGAGTTGCTTCCACCTTTGACTAGTGTAAATAATACTGCTATGAGCGTGCGTGTGCAAACATCTCTGTGAGCCCTTCCTTGCCATTCTTTTGGGCGTATACCCACAATATTGATTTTTAAGTGAAGAAATTAAAAATGGAGGGAAAAAGAACATTCTTTTCCTTTACAGGATCTTTCTGGTCATACTTCTTCAGTACAATACTCTGTCAGACTGGAGTCCAGTGATGCCCCTACAGAATTTATCAGAAAAATCCGTTGTTACAGATAATCTGCTGAAAAAAACACCCAGGGGTTCAAATTCCATCTGCACACAAGAAAGGAAGCTAGTTTTTCTGTCTCTGCTACCATGATGCATTGATCACGGATGTTTCTAAGTGAAAAGGGCTGGCATTTAGAACATCAGAATCTGAGTCAAGTGCATGGCCTTCAGCAGCATAAGGAACCAGGAAATCAACAGCATGAGCCTGAATAACAGGAGGCTCCACGTGACCTAGAACATCTTTGTAACACAGGGGACCATGAACTTCCTGGAAACAGGCCGCAGAACCAACTGCCATTTGTTGGTTTGGAAGCTGAGAAGAAAGGAGACAGGCTACAGGGGAGTGTGGACCTTCCAGATACTGAGAAAAATGTTCTTCTTTTGGCCGTAGAAGTAGATATGAGAAAGTCAATGTCAAGAACATTGGTACGTCTGATCTCAGCTTTGATAATCCCTTCATGGAAATGGGAGCATCAAAGTATAACTCTTCATCTGAAATTTTAAGCACTTTCATTTCCACCGGGGGTCTATAGACCTGGAAAGTAATGTTGACATGTCGGGAACAAACAAGGAATTGCCATATGTCCTTCTCAGAAGTCTCTGTGGCAGATGTCAGCCCTCTCTGGAGTCAATAAAGAAACGAATTCATCTGTAACTGCAGCCTTGAGGGAACTTGACAAACTTTTGGTTATCAGTAAGAGCCAAGCTTCAAAAAATACATCTGCAGGGGTTAATCTGCCAATCAGAAATGGTAGCCAAGAGCCCAGCAGGTACTAAGGAGCTTTGAGAAAAATGGACCCAAAGTGACTATCTTACAACTTTCCAGAATGAACAGTGCCCACAAATCTGTTCTCACCAGACTGCACCTGTATCAGTAAGGACTGAAATACTAACAGGCGAGTCCACATGAAAACCTGCACACAGATGTTATAATGTAAACACCCCCAGATGGCAAATAACCAACATGTCCTTCAGTAGGTGAATAGATAATCTGTGATATATCCATACAATAGAATGATATTGAATGATGAAAATATCTATTAAGCCATGAAAAGACGTGAAGGAATCTTGAATAAATATTGCTCAGTAAAAGAAACCAGTCTGAAAAGGCAAAATATTGTATAATTCCAAATATAGGACATTCTGGAAAGAGTAGTATATGAGTCTGGACTGAGACAGTAAAAAGGCCAGTGATGGCCAGGGATTTTTGGCGGGGGGTGGGGAGGGGAAGATCAATTATGGAGGACAGGGGACTTTCAGGGCAGTGAAACTATTCTGAATGATACTGTAATTATGGACACGAGACATCTTGTATTTGGCAAAACCCACAGAACAGTACAATACAAAGAGTGAGCCCTAATATAAACTATGGACATTTGTTAAGAATCATATATCAATATTGGTTCATCAGTTTTAACCAGTGTTCTACAACAATGCAAGATGTTAGTTAAAAATTACGTAAAATGTGTCTTAAAAAATGAAGACACCCTTCACTTGGTGCTAGTGTAGAAGATGGAGAAAATGTTACCTGCAGGGATCTGGGGGGTGGCATGTTGAGTGCAGGGAACATGGCTCCAAGTCAATGAAGGGAATAAATGAGAGCGGTTCTGTCCTCTCTTCCCAGCAGAAACATCTAACCAGCTACACTGTACCAGACTGTTCACCCAAGCTCTTAGCAGCTGAGGAAGATGCATGCAATCAGACTTCTGAGCAAACTACTTCCTTCCCATATTGGTCAAAGACTTGGGTCTGGGCCCACGGAATCCGCTGATACACCTGAAACCAGAAGCGGCCCAGCCATTCCCCAGGTCCCGCCAACTGTCAGCCGTCAACTTTTCCCACTGCAGACACTGCTGGGATTCTCCACGCTGGCTCTCCTCTGCGGGAAGCTCTTGAGCCTTTGTATCAAGTGGGCAGAAATGCAGACCGAGCTCCTCTTGTTTTCCCAGCAAGGAATGCTGCCATTCCTGCAGAGGAACGACTATGGCGAAGTGGGCTAGACCATACACCTTAAAAAAGCTATATAGATACACGGGCACACCCAGCTGTATGCAGTA